CTACATGAAATACATTACTATTGAGGTATTCTTTTCTGGAATTATTCTTGTAAAAAGAATAACATAATTAGTACATAATACAATGCAATTTTGTCATTTTTTTCACTGGTTAAGAAAAACCACTATATATTTTAAGAATTTCACCCCTAAATTTGGATAATGGACTTGCCGTTCTTTGAATTTGGAAGCGATGATTGTAATATTAAAGGGGTTTCAGTACGGAAAGTCTAAAAATTGGGCTACTATCAGTTAAAGATAGGTCAGATTGCATGTTATTGTTGCTTTAATCGTTCGGGTAAATAAAATTTGCATTACATGAAGAAAAAGGTTTCAATACCAATATATATATTTTTTATCTTTATACACAATTTCTAAACATTTAAAGAAAGTTAGATCAAAAAGAAATTTTGTCTGTTGTTTATTACAGGCAATGTAAATAGTATTTCATTTCTTATCATTTCATAAAAAAACAACAACAAAAAAACATGTGTACATAAATTAATGATAAATGATGATCTTCAATGAATGTATGTCGAGATTTCATGTGATGGCTGAAATAAGCTAAATGAAAATGGGCAGATACTATATTCACTCACTTTGGGGATGGCGAGATGAAATTTCATTCAATATGACATCATTAGTGCAGCATATGAGTGAGAACAATAGACGTGTAATGTGTATTGTAAATTGTATAGTATATCTATAGTACAAATCAAAAAAATAATTGACGACGCTTTATACACTTTGTATTATATCCTTGACCAGTAAAAGAAAGCAGGAGAAAAAAATATACCATAAAAAAAGACCCCAAATAAAGATACATTAATAACAACTTATTGTTGTTGCTTTTTTTCCAATGGAATAAAAAATCATGCTGAAAAAAAAAACAACAACATTTAAAAAAACTAGGCAGAGCACCTTACATAGTTGATGTACAATATATATATATATACTGACAATATGTAAATGCATAGAAAGCTATGATCTCAACAGTAACAATGGATGGCAAACAATGAAATTATTACATATGTGTGCAATATCAATGATAAATGGATGGGTAACTGATACAATAAAATCCATATTACATCCTCTAAGTTAAAAAGTGCACCACTATAATATCTAGCAGGTATTGCTAATGCAAATGTAATGGATTATGGAAACAAAAATCACTCAAATCTTACAAACTGTTATAAACAATAAGTCATAACATGCAAAAAACATGTTTGCTGTTAAAATATTGAAAACATAATATTCATGTTAAATCCACACATTATGAAACCAAATGGAATAAAAAAACAACAACACACAAGCATACTTTGCTACTCGTAACTTCTTCTAAGGGAAATAACTGTTAATGCACACAACACATTTGAAACACTGGCAATTTGAAAGAGGAAAACATCCCCTTGTACATTATCCATCAATTCCTCCTTATAAATCAAAAGGTAAAAATGTTGAAACACTTATTCAGAAACTTTCGGCAAACGCCATTTTCAAAAATCTAATAATAAAATTAAAATCAATGGAATCACAATGTAGGAGGAGGCTTCACATATGTTCTTTACTGATAAATCAAAATCAAAATTAATTAAAATTTACTATTCCTTATGAAATTTCCCCACGTCCTTTATCAATTAACCAATGCCCTGCTGAAACTGGAAGTGAGTAGTTTTTACCACCAGTGTAAAGCCAGGAATGCCTGCACATTTGTTCAGTCAAACCAGGCCCTATACTGTTTGTAGCTCAATTTTTGTATTTTGTTAATAAACAATCCCTTAAACTTGCAATGGACTGTTCCAAATTCAAAGCAGGGCAAATCTATAAAGAGAAATTAGCTAGTTAAGGGTAAAACTCATTCTCTTGTTTCTAAAGAAAGCTTTAGTCCATTTTTTTTCCCTTAAAAAAAAAGTGGAGATGCAAAATTAAAACATAATGTTTTTTTCAAAATCACAACATTTAAGTTAAAAATGTTGATTCTACCCAACATACAATTTACAAAAAATTATATCTAAAATTTTTATTAAATTTTTATAAATGCTACAAAAAATAGTCTTCAAAACAATATTTTGTTCTTAACAAGCAAAGCACTAGCCCTACACATAAAACAGCACCTAAATCACATAACAATATTGTCTTTTCAAAAAAAAAAAAGGAACCAGTCAAACACATAGCTTCTGATTAGCTGGTTCAAATTGCACATTTGAAATCGACCAATGAATAAACTGAACAACAAGACTGGTTTAATGTATCATAAATTTCTAAATAAATTAATTACAAATACCCCTTAATAAAAGCTAAATGTATCTTTTTACATTTGTCAAAATTAACTTCTTAATAAAAGCATGTATCTTAAACATCTTAGGACAAAGTACGACTGCAAAATTGAATAACCAGCACCCACAAAATCATACTGTGCAACCTAATTCTAAACGTCATAAATCTATTCCAGATAAAGGAACCAGAATCGAAATGCACCGAACAGTCTCAGAGAAAACATATTTAGAAAAAAAATGGATGCAATATTCAACATGAAAAAAGGCTATCAAAAATAAAACGTTGCATAAATAATGTTCAACATTAGAAAAAAACAAACCCTATTTATCCTTCACATACATAACACAATCATTTTTGTTAGCGACAATCTTAATAAAAAAAGAATTCAATATTATGTCAATGTTCAAAAATATAAAATGCATTTATTCCTTTTTTATAAATAAATAAACATGCCTCTCAAATACAAATACAAAAGACATGCAGAAGAAAGTAAATGTGTTAAAATGAAATGGTGTTTATTAAATCCCCCTAAAATACATACAAAATTTACAATAATTAACAAAATAATGGAAGCTGCCTTGTGAATTATAGTATTTTACAACTGCTGAAGACTCAAGAAACCTATTACATGTACTTAGATATAGAGTGCCTACCAAATCTTGTCAGAAAATAAGGTAATAGCAATTTTAAAATCATTAACACTTTCACAATAATAAGTGCAGTCTACAGACCACATTTCTTTTTCTTTTGCACCCTTAAATACATTTCTTGTTCGAAAAAAATGTGCTGAATCACTGTGCTGCATAAATAATTGAAATATTTAGAGTTAAAACATTGCTTATATAGCGTTTTCTGCAATATTTGCACCAAAATCGTTCCTTTTTACAATAAAATCATTTAAAATTGTTTTTTATATATAATCATTTTTGTTTTTTTAATACAATATCATTTTTGTTTTTTGTTATAAAATCATTTTTTTGTTTTAAAGATTATGTGAATCCAGAGCTCCAGATAATTTTTTTGGCTAAGGGGTTTTTACCCCTCAAAATTTAGAGTGAGGGGTAAAATGCAAATTCTGAAAAACTTAAGGGGTAAAATCTGTCAAAAAAGCATTTTGCATTTTTTTATAAACAAATTAAACTTATTGTTGTGTTTGTTTGTTTATTTTCTTTTTTTAGAAAAACCTTTACAAATATAATACTGATTTAATGTGAAACAATACAAAACATGCCATGTAAAGTCAGACTTCCAGAGTATACTGGAACTCAAGTTTAGGATACACAGCAAAATTAACAGGGCTTCCATTTTCAAAATTTGGAAGTCAAAGACTTCAAAATCTCTGATATTGGAAGTCACATAATATAGGTAAAGAAGGAAAGTATTGATTTTTGGAAGTCACAGGCCAATTCAAGGAGTAAAAGACTCCCAAACTTCCACTAGTGGAAGCCCTCAAGTTATTTTATTTTCTAGGAGTCAATATTTTCTTTCTTTATTTTTGTTGGCATGTACCTTATCATGTACTCCAGTTTGAACAATTAAAGTTGACATTAGAATTAAAGAAACATAAACAAGATTTTTTTATCTTTCCTTAAAAAAATTATTGATCTGAGAGAAAATTGTCCGTAACTGTAGACTGGGTACGAAAATATTGAGTACAAAACTGCAGGTGAATAACATGTTATTTTGTTCCAACAACTAAAGTTAAAGAAATTAAAATATATCTTTGTTTATATTGAGGCATAAGTATGTCAATAGATGCCTAAACAATCTTTATACTGTGTTAACTCCTACGATGATTATATGGCACAAATTTCATCAATAATTTCACAGGTTGATAGATCTACGGGAGTTACCTCCCTTCTGTATTTCCTGCTACTTTCGTTTTTAACATGCGTTGTTGACAACAGAATTTTTAGTTTTCAATGCAATTAAATGGAAATATATTGTATTTTATGGTCAAAACATTTTCTTTCTACATATCAAATGTTTACATTTCTATTCTTTTACGCATAAATTTTGACATACGAGCGTATTTTCATTTTGTTGTGCGTAACTGTGACGCACGAATTTTGAAAGTGATGCGTATTTTAGATTTTCTATGCGTATTTTACGCTTATACGCACGCTATCTGGAGCTCTGTGAATCTTCACTCTAAACTTTATATATATATGTCTTCTTACTGGTATATACAGAACTATTTTACTAACATGAGTCATCACTACTAGTACATAAAAACCAAGCATATCTCCACTGTTTTCAAACAATTTCCAACAGGTCAGCTGTGTTAACCATATAAAATACAACACAGTCAATAATTTAAAATGCCATAACAGAGTTATCATAATTAGATATTAAGTTTATTTTTTTCTAGAAAAAGTTTTAAAAGTTAAAAATCGCCGTCAAATTACATAATCAATTAGAATAGATCCATCCTACCACTAAATGAAATTACAGGTCATGCAAAGAAGAAAAATTAAACTATCCAAAACCGATATGTAAATAGATTTTAAGTTTTAATAAATTGTCAAAAGTCAATTCTTGAATAATGCACTGTTTGTTTATCAAAATAAATAAGAAACTAGCAGCGTGCTCATAGGATAAGGATGCTCCCACATGTCACTGTTTTATCTATGGAAGGGCAGCAGGATGGATAAAAGCTTATATCTGGCTATATGCCACACACCCCCACTACCCAAAGCAACTTACTCTGAATTTATATTCAATAACTTGAACTTTGATAAAGCTTATAAACTGACTATTTGTATGGACATCACCTGCTTTTAACTAAGTTCAGTTTGTTTTTAAACGGATTTCAAAAATTTAAAATTGTTAAAACTCAGCAGCTAAGAAGACTTTGCTCTACAGTGATGACATATGCTTGCCGTTATGCCATTTTTGTCGCCATTACTTTGAAAGAAACTGTTTTAAAAGAGGCCAACTCTTCAAATATTTGTTCAATGCTATATCAACACGGTGAAAACAATTTTAACTAACTATCTATCTATATATATCTAAATGTATATTAAAGATAAATGACTAGGTGCCGACAATGTTGTACTAGTGCTTCTGTATGCGGGTATAAAATATAACTACAGTTTGTTAACAATATTCATTAACATTTCCTAGAAAAAAAAGTAAACAACCAATGCTGGCAAGAAAGTCAATCTTATGTTGTTAAATTATATATTCAAATACATCAGTGAAATATAATCTATATATCACTCACAGTTCCAACTATATCACTTCAAATGCATATTCAACAACGTATTGACAACATATTCCTAATAAAAAAAAAAAATTATTTTGAACAATTTATGACACAGAAATCTTATTTCATCTACATTATGTATCAATACATAAAATTGAAACAAAGAACTCTTGTATCGTAGAAAAAAAAAAGTGCGTATTAATACGATAACAAAGTAACACCTAAGCCAAATCAGGAGGTAAATTTTCAAGCAGAAAATGTTAATGAATACTGGTCTATTTGCAATACATTCAAAACGAGCCACTGCTCGTCTAAAATTGATATGTTTATAAAATATAACAGTTAATCTACATTGTATTAAACTACCAAATTACAATAAATATTTACATCTTAATAACCACAGACTGTTAATGAATATAATGGGCATCAACAATAATGAAGAGAGAAAAAAAACCATGGAAGCTTTTGTTCAATGGAACACTTTGTTTTCCTAAATGAAAAAGAAAACATGAATATTTACATTATCTTAGAGCAGTGTTCAAAAAATTCACTAAAAACAAAATTTATTGTTCATGAAAGAAAATGCTTTTGTTTATGAAACTCTATCATACAGGTATATGGTAACATTAACAAATGTATACATCAAAGAAACACATAAACAACAACAGATAAGCATGGCAGAAATCCAACAATAGGTATAATACAAGGTAGATAATTACCATGAAAATCAAGCAAATGTTGCATTCTACCTTTGGGTTTACACTATCACTTAAATGTTTACAGTAAAACCTTGAACTAATCTACACCTAAATGCTCAATTCTGGATGTTTCTTCTTGTTATGCTCTGCTAAACGTCTCTTAGGATGAATGGCCATAAAATAAATGTCACATATACCACAATGGGGCGGAGGTTCGTTCAGATGAACTTCCATGTGGTGCCTGAATGAAGCTTCCTCATCGCATGTCGAATCCCCGCATATACGACACTCAAACTTATGCTTCTCCCCTTTACCACTTATAGACAAATACTCCTTGACCCGCTTTATTTCGGGATTGGCAAGCTCCTCTTGTTGCTTTGTAGCATGAAGCTCTAGCTGAGAAGACAACAGTTCGCTAACTTTCGCTTTCCATTTAGATATTGCTGTCTCAGCTGACATTTTATTAACAGACGGCTGAGTCCGTAACTTTGCCTTTTCACTGTCACTATCACCACTTTTACTGTGATCATCATTATTATTCTGAGGCACAGATATTTCTTTTACTAATTCACAACCGTTATTACCCATGTCTTTGTTGTTCTCCATCGACACAGTATTTGAATTCAAAGATGTTTCATTCTTTATATTCTCTTCTTTACTTACTGAAACAGTATCCCCACTTATTCCTGAGACAGAAACATTGTCACTTTTAGATATTTTACCAATGTCATCTTTTGTACCATTCTTACCACTAACTTGTTCTTTAACAATTTGTTTCTGTTTTGCCTTTGCTATGTCATTTGTTTCAGTATCAATTTCTAAACTGTCACCTAGATTCAGATCTGTTGCCATTTCTATACTTTCATTTTGCGAAGCATTGCTTTTACTCTCACTTTTGCTTTCATCAAGTTTGCCATTTTGAGCAACAAAACTTTCAGTTGTCTCCATAGAACTATTTACTTTATCACTGCTTGTACTTTCAATTGAAGTATTTAGGGAAAGGTTTAAATTTTCAACTTCAGTTTTGTCAGAATTGTCATCTTCATCAGTCGAATGAATTTTGGTATGAATATACAAGTCTCTTTTCTTTTTAAATGATTCAGAGCAGTCCTTACATGAAAATGGTTTACTCTCTTTTTCTTTCTTTTTCATGTCTTTCTTATTAGCAACAGTCTTATTTTCCTTTTCTTTCTTTTTACCATCTTTCTTATGTACCTGAATATGTTGAGCATAATTCCATCTTTGAGAAAACTTTTTCTTACAAACTTCACAAAAGTATATACTTTTCTTCTCTATACTGTCTAGAATTTTAGTATCTGGACTCCTCTTAACACTTTTCTTTTTCTCCTCAATGTCTATTGGGGAAAGTTTAACTACAAGCCTTGAGCCTTTTATAGGTGTGCTTGCAGACAGTGGTATGTCTGGATTAGGTGCAGGGCTTTTCTCACGGTTTCTTAAAGATCTAACAGACTTATTCGGTTCAGAAAAGCTTTTCATGTTTTTCCTCAATTTTTTCAAACTATATTCCTTATGTTTATGTTTCACATGTGTCAGCATGTTACAAGCACGTGTAAAGGATTGATCACAAACAGGGCAACGAAATGGATTATCCCCTGTATGCATCCTTGCATGAGCCTTGTAACTACTTAATGAAAACTGAGCTATTCCACATTCTGGGCATTTCTCTGGGAATTCGTCATTTCTTTTAACCTTTTCAACCTCTTCAAAACTTAAGTTTTCAACTTCAGTTCGCTTTTTCTTAGGACTACTTGAGCTACTTTCACCATCTGTTTTCCGCTTAACAACAGGTTTAACTTTATTCGCTTTAGATTCAGATTTATTATCTATTGTGGATCTTAGAACTCTTCCAGCAGTTTGTTTAAGTTTCTTAATTTTTTGTTTCAACAGATCTTTTTTCACAACCACTTGTCTGGTTTTTGTACTTTTTGGTTTATAACTATCTTCTGAAACAGAATCATCTGATACATTATTATACCTAGGACTTCGCTTTTTCTTTTTTGAAGGTTTATAACCTTCAGATTCAGAGTCTTCATCTTCAACATCATCACTTTCTGTCACTTTTCCAGACTTTCGCTTACGTAGGTTTCTTTCAGGAACATAATCCTCATCTGATGTTTCATTTTTAGGCTTTTCTTCACTGTCACTTGTTTCTACACTTTCAGAGGCCTCTTCTTTCTTACTTTCACCCCTTTTTACTTTACTTGTATTTAGAGACTTTTCCTTAACCTCTTTCACTTTCTTAGGAGACGTAAACCATATTGGGGGCTTTCCAAACTGCTTGCATAGATCATTCAGTTCTTTAATTTCAGAAATATAGTCAGAACTAACTTCATGTATTCTTCCAGTTTTAGTATCAAACTTCAAACCCTCTCCATCTTCCTTCCAGTAAACCTTAGCATGTGGATCATGACACAGCTTAACATGGTTGTCAAGAACTTTGTCATTTGTAAACATTTCTTCACACTTCTTACAACTTACCACTTTTTTAGAATGTTCAGTTACATGATTCATATACGCTTTTCTAGAATTCATTTCAATTCCACACACAGGACATAATTTAGGATAGGGCAGTTCATTTACTCCATGAGAAATTGTCTCGTGTGACTTTTCATGAATAGCTAAAATGTTTTTCTTGGAAAAGGTTCGTTCACAAAACTGGCAAGCAAGAACTGGCTTTTCATGAGTCTTTAAATGTTCGACATATTTATCTTGCCTAAATTCAGAGGTACACAAAGGGCAATTCAGAATTTTAGTACTTCTCTTTCTCCTGTGTAAATCTTTCTCCTTTTGCTCAGTTGTATTTTCTGGTTTCACTGATTCTTCTGGAACAGCCTTTTCATGCTTCTCTATTTCTTCTGCAATAAGTTCAGATAAATGTAAAGCCAGTTTGTGCTCTATATAACGTTGTTTCTTCATAAAAGCATAGTGACAACTATTACAACTGTATGTCAAATGAGTTCTCATATGTTCTGATAATGTACTTCTCTGAACACACTTGTTGCATAAACGACAATAAACAATTTCACCAACAACATCATTAACACTTTTCTCCTTGTCATCTGTTTCTTCAGTTTCATCTTTAACCTCAGTCTCCTTAACAAAATCCTCTTCAAATATTCTTATATCAATACTTATTTCAGGTTCATCACTTTCTTCAATTAGTTTTTCTTCAAAGTCCCCAGTTTCTGGATTTAGCACAGTGATCATAGTTTCCTTCTTAATTTTTTCAGTATCGTTTTTCGCTGATACCCTTTTTGTTTCAGATACATCTTTTTTACTTTCATTCTTATTACCTTTCCCATCTTTTAAACATGTTTCAGTTTTGATCATTTCCTCAACTTTAATTTTATTGTCTAATTTACTAGTATCTTTATCTTGTGCCTTCTCGATCTTTACAGCTGCAGCTGTAGTGTTTTCAAGTTCACTATGCTGCTGCAAATGGTATATGTATGTACCCCTACTATCTAGACATACCTGGCAAAGCTCACAAATGATCTGAGGCTCTTCACTAGACATATTATGAGTCTTTAAGTGCTTGTCATAATTTTGTTTCTTAGTGTAACTCTTTCTGCATTCTTTACACGAGAACATCTTTGCTCCTTTCTTTTTCTCAACACTTTGCTGCTGTTCTGCCTGTATATCTTTGAGCTTTTTGTAAACGACTGGAGTGTCAGGAGAAGGTGGCGGTTCAACAATATCTTCAATATAATGACTTTCATCATACACATAATTCTTGTACTTTTTACCACCATGAATAGACCTCATGTGCTTCTCGAGAGATTTTATGCTGGAGTAGGACCACTGACAAATGTCACATGAATACTGTGAATGTACTCGCTTTATATGGGTCACAAATGTCTCTTTAGGTATGTTAGTATAGCATATCTGACAGCACATCTGAGCAGGATGTTTGGAATTTATAAGCTCATGATCTCTATGGTATTTCATATGATATATGTAATAACCTTTCTCTTTTGTTTGATACGCGTAGTCGCATACCTCGCAATATACCCGTGTTGGATCTTTGACATGGGTCTCAACGTGCGCTATCAGATCTGACTTATTAGCAAAAGATTTTTCACATTTGGAACAACTGAATTTCAACTTAACTTCAGTTAAATTTAACTTGGAATCGTCCTGACTTTTGGTTATAGTCTTGACTTCTTCAACATTTTTAACACTCTCTTCTGGTGAAACAGTATCAGTTTTAACTTTTTTCTCTTTCACAAGTTTCTGCTTTTCCAGGTACCTGAGTTGTTTTTGTTTCTCTTTCAAGTTTTTCATGACTTCCTTTTTCTTTTCCTTCAAGTCTTTGATAACTTCTTTTCTACTCTTGTTAACCTTCCCTACAATCCCTGAGGCGTCGCTTTTTATTTCTGGATCTACGACAGGTTCATTCACTTTTTTACTTTCAACATTAAACAAACTTTTCTTCATTGGAGATTCACGCTCATCTTCTGATTTCGTATTCTGTAATTCTTTCCTATGCTGACTCATTAAATGTTCAACACATTCAGTTTTTTGCAAGAACACTTGATCACATTTATCACATGTGTGAACATCATGTGTTTTCAAATGAGCCACAAGTTTCACTTTCTCAATTTCTTCATCACAAATTTGACAGTCAATATATTTTTCCACTTCCACACCATCGAAAGTGGTATCGATGGTTCCACCAGTAAGCGGCACAGCCTTTTTGGTTCCTGCCTGGTGTTCCCTATGCTGATGAATACGGAAAGAATCCTGCTCTGTGTGCCGATTTTGTATGTGATGAAGATATTTACCTTTTTGTTCAAAGTTTTTGTCACAAATCTCACAGTAATATAGATGAATGTCGCGGGAATGGAGTGCCTCATGCCTGGCACATTTCGACTTTTTCTTAAAAACTTTTCCGCACACCTTACATTCATATTGCTGTGGGGATGTATGTACCTTCATATGATCAACCAACAACGCCTGTATCATGAATGCTTTACCACACACAGTACAGTTAAAAGATACACTATCCTTCGACTTTGTAGGCTGGGGTATCTCCTTCACTTTCTCTGGAACTGGGTGCTTAGGCTTTACAGGCATGGTCTCCTTGGGCTTCATATGAGGACCTTGCGGAAGCACTGGACTAACCTGTTTCGCTGCCAAATGAGCTCGCAAGACATCAGCGCCTGGTGACGATGAAACTGGTCCAGCAGAGGGTAAAGGTCCTGCAGTACTGACTGAAAAATTCTGCTGCTGTGTGGTGATAGGAGATCGGTTTTGGGATACCATTCCCTGTGCGTGAATCTTCATGTGCTCTGACATATCGGCCATGTTAGAGAATGGTGCCTGGCAGATATAGCACATGATTTCCTGTGTCTGTTGTGTTGGCTGTTTAGGGGCCAGGTTGACAGTTGGTACTGGCTCAGTGCTCAACTTGTAGTCATGCTGACTTGGCAAGGCATGTGAAGGCACTGGAGCATAAACCTGAAATCAACAGAAAAGTCAATAATTTAAAGTCATAATAAGGTACAAACAGATAAATAAGTTTTGGAAAACAAAAATATAAATCAGAAGGAATTCATATTATCTTCAAAAATATTTTTAGTAATATGTATTGAAAAAATTAAATGGAACAATAGGAAATCAAACAGTTACTATTTAAATCATGCTTTTTTTTCAATTTACAGAGTTTACATGACATATCTGCACATATATGCCAAGTCATTCTAAAATCCATTCAGGAATAATAGATTTGTTGACAGAACATGACCATCAATGCACTTTAATGAAAAAATCCTTTCAAGTGTGGCCTTGACCTTTGACTTACAAACCTGGATCTTGCATATTGTCTCAATGTCCTATACATTTCAGCACAATTCCATTCACGAAAGACAAAAATATGGTATGGACAAAAAGCAGACAGGGGCAGACATTTCAAAAACTATTATATGCCACCCTTTGAGGGCATAAAAATATTGCAAACATATAAAAACTACAAGGTCAAGATTGGCAAACTGATTAATAATTTGATCAACATTTGTTTAAAACTTAAGAAATTTTTTCCATCTCTGCAAGATAGTTATTTATAAATAGAGGATAGATATGAAATGAGTGTAGATTCAATACTGAATCTATTTAATGAGATGAATAAAATTGTCTCATGCGAGCCTTTGGCGAGCACAATATTTCTTTATTCAACGAGGACAATAAATTTAGTAATGAATCTACTTTATTTATCTCATACATAAAATAAAGACTGTTTAAAGTGAAAAAGTATAATTTTTTACTGAAACCCCTATAGTGCAATGCTAATATTTATCATCTCATTACGCTATGTTTGTATAACTTACGATGTCACATCAAAATATATGCACAGCTGTGCAATACCATTTTTAGGGAGCCGCAAAAGCAGCTCAGGTTTGTGATAATGTGATATATCAAGGACATATTGAGCTGTCAGTTATAAAAACACTTAAAATTTAAATACAAAAACAGTAAATCGAAGTACATGTTTACATTTGGTCATAGATAAAAATAACTAGAAAATCTTTACTATACCTGAGCTTGTGGCTGACTACCCTTATAAACCTGGCTGTAAGTGAGATGAGGTGAAGCATGCCCGCTAGGATATGCCGGCAACTGCTCTGTCGAGTTTGGGACTACTTTCTGCTGGCTAGGATTTGACAGCTGCTGATCGGTACGTGGAATGCTATGTTGATAGTGGGAATGGTTAGTTGTGGATACAGTTGCTACTGAAGGACCATAGTGCAATGTCTGTTTCGGCACGGTGTCTCTATGGTCAGTGTTGGATTTTTCATTACTGTTAGGCTGATTATAATAATTTACTGGCAACGGTGCAGAAGTCAGTTTATCTACACCATACAGATTCTGAGGTTGGCTAGACAGGGTCTGTTGGTAATACGTCCCTTGCTGAGGGCCAAGCAGCTTGCTAAGTCCATACTGGTTGCCGGTGTAGTTGTCGCCTACCTCCGGTGCCGAAGTTGGATGGTAAATTGATTTAGGGATGCCATAGTAGGGATCAGGCTTTTGAATTGGATGTTGCCTACTATCCAGTCCCAAAATCTCTTCTGGCCGTCCCATTGGAAGTGCACTAAAAGGGGGTATTGACATAGGTTTATTTGAGAGATCTGGGGTGTACAAACTCCGTGTTAAACTGTCCAGGAATGAGGAAGAGCTATAAGCAAGACTGTCAACAGGAAGATGTCTACTGTCAGATGACACCTGTAAATAAAATAAAACTCAAGTTATAATCATATTATTTAAAACTGAAAACATGAGAGCAAAAGCTAACTTTCCTTGAAAATCAACTTTTTATTACTACTGTAGACTATAATGGTTAATGTTTTTCACATTTGCAATAAAAGACATATTTAAGTTTATAGGAAATCTTTATGCACCACAAAGGCAACTTATTCATACAATTATGAAGTGTACAAATAACAACCTTCTTTATCTTATTGAGTTTGCTCTGGGAACTTTTCTCCCTCATCAAATAACAGACAAGAATTTGAATTTGGAGGTTAACAATAGCATTTGTTATTAACTGACCAATAACAAGACAAATATTACTGCATTTATTGTAATATTTTTAAATATAACAAGATTGCATTTGAGAAAAATGCTATGCCACTGCATTAATACAACACTAAGCCTTGTACCTTCAGACAATAAGATTTTTTGACTATATGTATATATTGAAAATCAATGACCCCCGGGGCAAAGGCAATTTTGACCCCAGGGCTATAATTTGAACAATCTTGCTAGAGGTTCACTACATAATGTTTCATGCAAAATATCTAACCTCTAGCATTTGTCAATTGCTAGAAGAATTTTTTTTAAAGTTTTTACTACATGTATAAGTGTTTACAATATACATATAAGGAAAACCAATGGCCCATTTTGACCCCAGGGCTATAATCCTGCTAAGTTTTGTTGAAATTGGACAAGTGGTTTTTCACAAGAAGATTTTTTATGTTCACTATATAATCTATAGAACACACACACACACAAACACACAGGTTAATCGCTATATGCCACCGCATCGCAGATGCTGCGGTGGCATAAAAAGTTCACTCTGTAAATCCCCACTTGCCACATGAAAATAAAGTATCTTTTCAAGTTTAAAAATTGAGATTCCAGTTTTACTGCAAGTATAAAGAATGGTTTTAGTCCTGCACAATAATGATTCTTCATAATTATACTGACACTAGTCTTGGTATGTCCAAATATTATTACCATTTTTTTTTGCATTGCTCCATTTCCAAATATTGATAATGTATTTTAATGATACATCTTAAAACTGTAGACTGGAGTTTTTTGATAGCTGGATACTTAACTCTCGAGCATCTGGCTATCAAAAATATTAAATAAGAGCTGTCTGTAAGAGTTTCTTCCAATTCAAAATTTGAACTTTCTTACTTTTTTCTGTGTTTAAGAAATCTGGAAATGGTAAGCTGAAAAAAAGGTACATAAATAAATGTGCATATACATGTACTAATATTTTCGGTTACTTAAACTTTTGCATCACTTCTCATCTTGGTAAAGATCTGATTCAAGTTGAAGGCAGGCTGTAACAGCTAAACATGAATTTCATTGTAATTCCTGCCCATTTGAAATACAGGGCATCTGTGGTCAAGTGGTTAAGGATGTTCAACTTCTAACCTCTTGTCCCTCACTGCCAGGGGCTTTGGATTCTTTCATGTGTTGAAGCTATCCAGCTAACTTAAGGAACTACTCCGGTTCCTGTTTGTGCCTGAAAAAAGGCCTAGAGGGGCACATAATGTTTTCCTCCACCAGTGAAGCTGGGAAGTCACTATATAGCTTTAAATGTTGGTGCAAGATACAACCCAACCCCTATTACATGTATATACTCTTGTAGATGATTATACTGAATCCTTGGAAAAATGAGATCATGAATATTTTTCAACACTGAAACTTCCAATGTTTCAGCTGCTTAAATGCATTTCTCACATAATAAAAATTAATGATAAATATCTATGTCCCTTCTCACCTGACTTTGAGATGGTCGTGAATCTATGGGTAACATTCTTACATCTGTTGACATGGGAACACTTGCCATAGAAATAGAGGGACTCTGAATGTTGATTGGTGTTGATCTTGACCCGAGATTCATGTTCTGTACATCTATATCACTTCTGTAAATCAAACACACATATTAATCCTTATTGATTGATAACATTAGTTTTATTCACATGGATTTGATTCACAATCAAGATAAGTTTTGCTTTTCTACAATCTTACATATATATAAGTACATCAGTACAAATCACACCGCAAAAGTTAAACACAAGTTTTTAATATGAATGATAATGTAAAAATTGAAAATATCAATATCACTGAAGACAGAAATTACCCCTTGCATATTGCCTAGAATATATAGAAAACATAGTTATATAAGCAATAACTATTGCTTTTGATGAAAGCGTCATCAAACAATCCATCCATAGAAACATTGTTCACAAATTTAGAGCGAGATTAATGACATGACTGTGCGCAAAATGTTTTAACCTTTTAACAATTCACTTATTTACAGCTTATAATTAACATGAATAAGAGAATGAAGATACGAATCTTCTTTCAAATAATTACCTGTACATTTGTTGTGAAGATTTATCAGGCAGTGAAGCCGGGCTTGAAACCATAAGATTTCTTGGATCTTGTTGAGCAGCAGGACTGGCAGGAACCATGTTCCTTGGATCAACTGGGCTAGCTGCTACCATATTTCTTGGATCAACTGGGCTTGCTGGTACCATGTTCCTTGGATCTACAGGACTTGCTGGAACAAGGTTTCTAGGATCCACAGGACTTGCCGGAACCATGTTTCTTGGATCTACTGGGCTAGCTGGAACCATATTTCTCGGGTCTACAGGGCTGGCAGGAACCAAGTTTCTAGGATCTGCAGGACTTGAAGGTACCATGTTCCTTGTATCTGCTGGGCTAGAAGGGATCAGATTCCTTGGGTCAGCTGGACTTGATGGAACCATATTGCGAGGGTCACCTGGGCTTGTGGCGACCATATTCCTTGGGTCAGCTGGGCTTGTTACTGCCATATTCCTATGATCAGCAGGACTTGAAGGCACATAATTTCGCAAGTCTTGCTGACTTGTTGGAATCAGTCCTCTGGAATCTGGTTGAGACCTGATATCATTTTCAGGAATTGAACTACGGAATGGTTGAATCAACTTATCGAAACTGTCCAAAGTCCCGGGCGTAGAACCAGTCGAGTTATATGCTGGAACCACATGATTATCAAAAGGTGGTCTTAAACCAGCCGATTGCAGAGAACCAGGTATGGTAACCTGGTCAAAGTGCATACGTTCATGGAAAGCATAGTCACTGTAGTAAAGGAACTGTTTGAAACACAGACGACATGTGTAAATATTTTGCTCTGATAGACGAGTCCCATCCATCACATTTGAATAATTGTTAGCCATTGTTAAAAACTTAACAAACAAATTTAATTCTGAAGCGAATGTCAAATTTCTCAACCCATTTTCTACATGTATCTACCCCATTGTTAATTTGCTGCTACTGTAGATGTAGAATTTCCATCTCTTTAAGGCAATCTCTTTTGTAAACAGCCTGAAATGAAAGAAGAAAATAACAGACGAAGATGAGGATTCAGGATAAATGAGAAAATATGTTAATGTTACAATAAGAAAAACCTTGAAGCAAACACTTAAGAAAAGTACAGGTATGTTACATTAAACTGGTAAACATCTTGAATTCTGTATGATTATAATAAATTAGAAACTGAGCATTTTTACAATTATAATTATAACACAATAATGATGATCAAAATATCACATTTTCACAAATATGAACATTTTTCAATTAATTTCACATGATGTACGGCCATTCAGAATTCATGACAACTAATTTTCTGTGTATTGTATGTTGTCTGGAGTGCTTTTAGAATTGTCTAGTATGTCAAACTAAAAAATTTTATGATTTGTAGAGTTCCTTACGAAAGTGAAGGCACTAGTAGTAGTACTGATTAAATGCTTGACAGACTGCCTAGGAACTGTGGTGGCTAAACTGTGCTCTTGTAAATTTTTATAGTGGATTATTGTCATGCCATGGAAGGTTATAATAATCACGTACAAAAGTATTACATCCATGAAACATTGTCAATAAAAACAGTCAGTGTAGGCTGTCAGAACCACATTATGAAAAGCGTTATTTTTTGCAATATTTTTGGAGTGCTTTAGGTTGCATAATCTTATAGTAACATGTGACATTTCTTTTCTAAACATCACAGAATTATTACACTGCTTACCAAAGTTTTCTTGAAATCTTGACATTAAATCAACATGAAAAAAATTAAATTGATTATGTGAAAACATTAGACAATGTCATTCAAGTAGTTCTGGATCACTCAAAACATATATTTCCATACACACAAAGGCTAATTTTTTAAACTTAATATCAACTGATTCTTTTGTCTTTAGATGGAAACATTAGGAATACATCATTCTGTTTTTATTGAAGAATAAAAAAGAAATTAAATGATGTGATTCTAATTGCCTAAGTTTCGGATTGCCTACACATACCATCTAGCCAAGTTTAATTTAAATCAATCTAAATCTAACTCTTGCAGATCTAAACCAGCGCTTGTTAACCACTAAAATGACTAATTGATAAATTGAGTTTCATTTCAACGCAAACTTAATTTCTACATAATATACAGTACAGTATTTAATAGAAACTTCTTCATGAATAATACATTTTATATAAGTTTGCTGTTTTAGTGTTTATTATTTAATTTATTGCTTTTTGTTATTCACTGTAAAAATGCCATACAGCTAGCCTACAGATCTACAGAATTTTGGCTAGCATCACTTGATACACAAGTTTGCATATTCATAACTCCTTTTTGTTATTTACAGTAAATATGGCATGCCTATAAAGAATTTTGGCGATTAATACGGGGAAGTCAAATGCCGTGACCGTAAAGCGGGCCCAGGCTTTGGCTTGCCCAGCTATAGTCTACACGTGTCTATTAAAAACAAGATTGCATTTGAGAAAAATGCTATGCCACCGCATGGTTCAAATTTCATAGCTGTACACCAAAGGACAAGAAAGTAGGTCACATCATCAAAATCTAGGTCACCTGATATCAAAGTTCAATTTTACAACTAAAACTGTGTACATGGTCAAAATGTCATTGCTGTACATCAAAGGACAAGAAAGTAGGTCACTGTCCCCTTGGGCAAGGCATAATTTTGACCCAAGGGTTTAATTCAAAACAATTTTGATACAGGTCCACCAAACAACATTTCAAGTCAAATATCTAAGCTATAGCTTTCTCCCATTCGGAAAACATTTGTTTTATTTTCTGTTTTTACTATGTGTACATAATGAGAATCACTGCCCCTGGGCAGGGCCAATTTTGACACCAGGGGAAAATTTTGAACAACTTTGGTAGAGGACCTATAAATGATATTATATATCAAACATCAAAGCTCTATGCCTTGTACCTTCAGACAAAAATATTTTTTATTTTTTCACTATATGTACATAATGAAAATCAATGACCCCCGGGGCGGAACCAATTTTGACCCCAGGGCTATAATTTGAACAATCTTGCCAGAGGTTCACTACACAATGTTTCATGCAAAATATCTTAACTCTAGCCTTTGTAAATTTAGAGAAGATGATTTCTTAAGTTTGTACTATATACATATAAGGAAAACCTATGGCCACCAGGGGGCGGGGCTAATTTTGACACAAGATGCAAAATTTGAATAACTTTTGTAGAGTACCTTCAGATGATATAATTTAACAAATATTAAAGCTCTAAGCCTTGTACCATCAGACAATAAGATAAGATTTATTTATTTTTTACTATATGTATATATTGAAATCAATGACCCCAAGGGCAGGGGAAAAATTTTGACCCCAGGGCTATAATTTGAACAATCTTGCTAGAGGTTTACTACACAATGTTTCATGCAAAATATCTAACCTCTAGCATTTGTTAATTGCTAGAAGAATTTTTTTTGAAGTTTTTACTATAAGTTTTTACTATATACATATAAGGAAAACCAATGACCCCCGGGGCGGGGCCGATTTTGACCCCAGGGCTATAATTTGAACAATCTGGGTAGAGGTCTACCAGACAATGCCTCACACAAAATATATAAGCTCTAGGCCTTTTGGGTCTTTACAAGAAGGTGTTTTAAGTTTTTACTATATGTACATATAGTGAAAATCAATGACCCCGGGGCGGGGCCGATTTTGACCCAAGGGCTATAATTTGAACAATCTTGGTAAGGGTCTACCAGAAGATGCCTTATGCAAAATATCTAAGCTCTAGGCCTTTTGGGTTTTTACAAGAAGGTATTTTAAGTTTTTACTATATGTACATAGTGAAAATCAATGACCCTCTGGGCGGGGCCAATTTTGACCCATCGGCTATAATTTGAACAATCTTGTTAGAGGTCTACCAGACAATGCCTTATGTAAAATATCTAAGCTCTAGGCCTTTTGGGTCTTTACATGAAGATTTTTTAAATTTATTCTTATAATTCCTTTTGGTTGCCATGGCAACCAGATTTCTGCATGGAATGAAATTCTTTGAACAACTTTGGAAGCCCTTCACCCAAGGAACAATCCTGCCAAGTTTGGTTGAAATTGGACTAGTGGTTTTTCACAAGAAGATTTTTTAAGTTCACTATATAATCTATATAACACACACACAAACACACACACAAACACACACACACACAGGTGAATCGCTATATGCCACCGCATCGCAGATGCTGCGGTGGCATAATAAAAATCAAATAAGAATATATTGAATTCTAATTTCTATACAGTATACAGTACTGGCATGCGAGCAGTTCCCGTACAAAAATCGTAGTTACTTAAACATTATTTTTTATTACGCGCACTCACCAAAATTTGAATGTTACACATCAATATTCGGCTCGGCACACAAATCATGGAAATTCCATCATGTTCTAAACATAGAATAACCCTTAGTTATGAGGCCTCATATGGGGTACAGAAATTATCCATTATTTTGTATGAAGAGAAGTAGTTCCCGTACATAGAATTTAACCCATTATAATTATACAATTTTATTATATCGGACCTATTTTTCATTTATAATTGTTGAACAGACCATTTTCTAAGAGATAAATTGATGTAATTCAGGAAATAGAAAGTAGACTAAACGCGTGTATCTATTACCCAGTACCGTTACCCCCAACGCATTCACATGCGATGGCATGCTTGTATGCATTATATTTTACGCATCAAAGCCATAAAATTATTTTATATTGTAATATTGGACAAAATTCTGTAATTAAACAAGTTTTCATCACATTGCCTTCTTATCTGTAAACAGGTGGTATTAGCGGAAAACCCTTTAACATGCCTCACGTGTAAGTATGTTTGCGCATGCGCGCAAGGACGGAATCCCCCAGATAAAACAAGGTCACGTTTTGACAACGCACAGGTGAAAGTGATTTAAAATGAGACTTTTTACACATACTGTCGAACTGACACTTAGATTTTGTCTCGTTTATGTATCTGCTTGATTTGAAATGAATTTTTGAAGAATGCATGTAAAAATCAAGCGTTTAATTGAAAAATACGGGTACTGCTTCTGTACGGGAACTGCTCGCATGCCAGTACCCATCAATGAAATTTTCAGTGTCAGTTCTAGTAAGGCGCCGCCAATTACAATTTTACTCAATTATAATAAACAAATTTATTAACGACAGATTGTTTGTTTGTTTCATTTTACGCCTTTTCCCAACAGTATTTCAGTAATAAACGACAGATTGAAAACACAATACAACGTATGGTGACATGAAGTATTAGTAACCTTTCACCGAGAAATATTGATTTTAGAGTGGGTGGATCAACGCTCGGCGTAAAAATACTATATTTGATATGGCAAATTCAAATCAACGTCAACAAACCTCAATGTTATATGTCCATTTTCAAGACCGATGATATTGTTTTAAATAGCCATTGTGTAAAATTCGCTAATCACATACTGATGTGCATGGCTGGAGCTATAGATAGTCCGGATAAACAAGAGTGGTTTGCGTGAAATTGTACCATAGCTCGGCGTACAATACTATATGATGCAGGATTGTTTTTCGATTAAAATCTCTTTTTTATCTTATGAAGAAAACATATTGAATAAATTGTAACAACCAAATTAGGTTCATACATTTACAAGTACCAAACTTTTAGTTTAAATTTTACAGCCCCAGAACTCTAATGTTAAAAGATTTAAATAATTTATATGTTGGGGATTACATACGGTTGTTCGTCTGCTATTAGCATTGACACGTGACTTTACCAGCAGTGAACCACACCAGGATAAAATGGTGAAAGATGTAAATAAAAGCACCAGTGACCTAAATCGGAGATAACTCGAGACATTTTCAGATATTCTAAAAAAAATATTTTTTACGCCGAGCATTGGTATGCGCCGAGCATTGGTTCAACCACTCTAATATTGTCTATCTTTTAACATGTTTTTAGTGAATTTCAACTTATTCAAGAAATATTTTCAATAGAAGATTGATTCAAAATGAAATCATCAAAGATACAAGACAAATAAAATCTTTATACCCAGCATATTTTGTTCGATTAATAAATCACTCAAACGTGCAACGCGTGGGATCTATCCGATAGCTAGATCCGTCCGGGTACGCTAACTAGCGAACTCCCTTTGTTTGCGCCAATAAACAAATTAAAATTTTGCAACTTGAGAAAGATTAAAGAATCTGTATAATCTTCTATTACATTACCTAGAACATAATGCAATATATGCTTGTGCTATTTGTTACCAAATCGTTTCAATATTGCAAAATTTAAGGAAAATACCTTAAATATTTCGCCAGCAATTAATTTACAAATGGCGGAGATTACAATTCAAGGGGCATAATTTAAAGGGACGTAAATCTTGACTGAAGCGTGCTGACCGCATGCACGTCCACGCCAATACGCTTGGCCCGTGACTGATTTTTCAATAAAGTTATCTACAATTACAAGGCATTCATCATAGATATTTTAAAAACCAATCGATAGATAAAATTGGCCTTCACATGTTACCGTTTGGTGATAAATGCTATATAAATTAGGCTTTTATGATGAACACCACTAATTGTAGGTAAGGCCGTTTAGGATAAAATCACCAAAATACCTTATATTGTGACCGCATCAATAACTATTTAATTTGTATTTTTAGTTACTTCAACTATTCACATTGCAATTCTAAAAGTAATTTTCTACTTAATTATTAACTTTTATACGGGTTCAAAGCACGCTTTTTAATCTAATAAAAATAACGAAATCCACTGGATTTTGGTATATCAACGTTCTCTAAAATGTTGTACATCACTAAATCTTGGAACGTGTCCTATACATCACCAAGAAAGAAAATGAGATCTTCTACAACACTTATTTAAGGTTGTTCTGCGTGAACAATAGAGGAATAATGAATACAATTGTTTTCACGTGTCACTTTTCAGCAGTTAATAATAATAGCAGATGATTGGGACACGTATTTATAACAGTGTTATTCATTTCCTATAAAAGTAATCAGGAAACGGGAGTTTATCATGCAATGTAGTGGAAATACCTACTTATAAGTCAAGATTCACTAATGATACACAAGAAGTGCATTCATTTATACCAAGTGTTTGGTACAAATTCTAATCTAAAGGCCCATTAAGCCTAAAAAATCCTAATATTTTTATTTTTCAAAACCGTTGTACATATATGGTGTCTGGTTACAGTTTACAAAATGTTACTTAGTTGACATATATCTGAATCATCTCTGCGTTTGGGAATTCCTAGGATAATAGTGATTAAGAATTTTAAAGGAGAAAAAATACCACTTTAAATTGTTATAACATTTCACGAGGATTTTTATGTACATGTATACAAATTATTATTACTTCAGGAACGGCTGTACATAAATAAAGCCGTGTTTCATGTGATAAGCACCTTACATATTCTCGATCCGTACTAACAGCATTAAAGAAAGTGCCTTTGGTTGCTTGCTTTTAGCTCACCGATCTTTTCCTAGTCGTTTACTTATAAATAGCAATATTCACGATTTAAATCACACAAATATATTTAATTTATGTCATGTTAAAAAATTAAACAATCGGAAAGATTTATTACAATCGTGTTCACAAACAAGCCACTCGCATCTTTTCTGACATTTTTGTTAAACTTCGGATAAAGCGGTGGTGTACCTATTTATACAAGTACTAATTGTATAGAGGCATTACACATAAAATATGTAAATCATTTTATAAAAGGTGAACACATTTTCTCCAAAATGACACCAGTGTAGGAGAGAATAGTGGACAAATGCTACAAACAAATATAATTGCTAGCTTTTACATAGAAGCAATCGTGAACATCTGAAAACGTCTTTTATCACACACCCGTGCCGCTTTGCGACACTGTAAAATTGTATTGCTCAGTATTTTGAAGTGACGTCATTTGCATTATATAAACTCGCTAAATGTAGGCGCTCCGATGAAAATGTGGGTCAATTATACCGTAAACAGTTCTTAATTAGGATATGTGATAAATATGATATTATAGTCGTGTACGTAGCTTCATAACTAAATTTATTGAACTCGTTCAATAAAACAATATATTTTGCTCGTTAGAGGCTCGCATTTACATGTATAATATAATTTTATTCAACTCGTTCAATAAATTCAGTATTGAAACTACAGTCGTTCAATATCCTCTATATAATACTGCACGTTTGTAACGACATTTTCATTGGATAATCGTGGCGTTTCTATAAACTGTTTACCTCAATATACACAGCTGCTGTCAATTTATTGAAGTTGTTTCATTTATTAATTATAAAGGAAATTTGCTGTAGTATGAATATGTTATAAAGTTTCTCGACATGTTATATGGCCGTTTATAAACGGTTGTTTGCAATACAATATTATTGACTTCTTCAGTATCTTTACAAATTATACCCTACAAACGCCAATATGTTTAAAAAATATGAATCAATGACAGAAAAGATTGGACTTTTTTTCAATATCGACTGCACATGGTTGTATTTAGTCGCGAGTATTCGTCTTCAGGCAAATAAATCACGTCAGTTATATCTAGGCTATCTATATTATCGTTCCTGATGCAACAAAGATTGATGGTACTATATATTATGACCTATAGCGGAGAATCAATCTGACTATAACATTGCAAGTATTCCGCTTCTAGAGAGAAGTGTTCTGCCAGAATCATAAAAGTCGGTTTTGAGTGCTTTTCGTCACTACACAAGAAAGTTGAATGCAAGTAAAGTTATGAATATATTCGTACTAATGATCGCGCTTAGGAAATGATTGAAATAGCAAAATACTATGTTATAAGGGAGACTACTCTTAATCGAGATCATCTGTAAATAAAGAAGAAATAGAGAAGAAACAAATCACTAAAGAACGCCCAAAACGGTAAAATTGAAACAATTTCTGATTTGATTGGACTGAGCCTGTTCATAGACGATACTTGAAAGTGCAAGCTACAGTCCATGCCTCCCCAGCACCGCCTTTAGCAGAATTTACCATATAACATGAATGGTAAAACTTTGAACATAGAGACTCCCACAGAAAGTTTACAGTCTAAATATTTTTGAAATTAATACGATTATATTATAAAAAATACAAACAAATTATCATCTTTGCCCCCTCAACCCACACCCCTTTTAGAAGAGGCAATACTTCTGACTTTCATGGTTTTGTTTCAGTAACATAGCCATTATTTACTTGTAAATAGTCGACATATTACGGCACTGTGCGTAGTTTATAAAAACTGCCAAGCTTCGCTAAAACCAAGAGCAGCACATAAGAGAATCTCGACCGTACAATGTGCCTTTCAACAAATATTATAAATATGAAAGACGAATTATGCGAGCTATAACATGATTGTTTTGATGACTTAGATTAATCTATAGAAAAAATCTGGACCCGGAAGCATTAATTACAACAGAATTACATGAAAATTGCAGACTCGGTTTGATTGAGTTTGTACATGAGGTATAATTAATAAGGTGCAACATCCCTCATGCCCTCTAGCACCAGCTCTAGCGGTACTCAATTCTCAAAACTTAATAGTGCTGGCATTAATGATCCCGAAGAAAAATATATAACAACAATGACGTGAAACTTTAGTGTTGTTATATTTAAAACAATTAAGAAAATTTGATAGAGAATTCCTGTCAGTTTAGAAAACAAATATACACGACTTTCCGAACATACCATTCAAATAATTGCATTATTTACATTCACGGTCATTTAAGGCGTAATAGTAATTGATTTGATATATATTTTTACAATTTGTTTTCTTAAAAGAGACTTTGGATCGGCAAAGAATTAAACAAATCGGCTTTAATGAGGGTCTGACGAGGTAATTAGCAATGTTTTTCTGAACTTTTATAACCTACGTATTACACAAAGCGTTCAGTAATATACTTCCGATCTAATGGCATCGCAAGTTAATAAGCATATTCATTTATTTTTAGAGTTAAATCAGCTATTCAAAGCTTTACTTGCATTTCGACATCATTCCAGAGTTTATTTCCGTATCTTCGACTGTATCCTAAATGGACAAATAAATGCAGTAATGAACTTTGAATGTATCTTGATCACCTTACTTTAATTCAGAATATTATGCATCTTTTTATGATATAAAGAAAAAAATATGAGTGGGTAGTTTAAAATACTGAATAATTTACTTCTTAGAAGTTACCATGGTAAAGTAGTAAAGTTCTATAGTATATGTAGATTCACATTAAACGAACCAGAAATACTAACTTTAATCAAATGTCGACAGAACTTTGTTAGTGCAACAAAAGGGATATCTTCTAAGTAACAAAGTATCAGCAGCAGCAGCAGCAGCAGCAGCAGCAGCAGCAAAAAATGAAATTACGTTAGTGGCAAAATAACAACAACAACAACAACAAAAACGTAAAACAAAAAGAAAAACAAAAAACAACAAAGCAAAGCCAAACCCCCGCCACAAAAAAAAAACAATAAAAAAAAAACACGCTGATCTAATCATTGATACACTTTTGCTTTGAAACAATAAAATAACAGTTCCATTATTTTGGTACTTGCATTAATTTATTTGTGAGATAATTGAAATTAGATTATGTGTTAATGGTGTATTGCCGCTGTATCAAGTTGTTTGGTTATTCATTTGTTGAAGCTTGTTTTCCTCAAACATTGACAAGATTTAACACGAACTTTGATATTAACAATGAACGGTAAATAGATAGAAATGTAAGCAAGGCGTAAAGAATTCATTGAATTTACAGGACATTCGATCATCAAGTTGCTGAAATGAAATAATTTGTTTTGAAGGATACGAAGCATAAACCTGATCGAAGCAGTTAATACTTCAGTGCAAGTTATTAAAAGATATTAAAATCCCGCTGATATTAAAATCCCGCTTAATTGTATCTATATACTTACCATTCCCTAATAGTGTATAAAGTTATCTTCATAAAATAAAAGTTAGGATTTCGTAAAAGGATACGTCTAAAATACCTTTATGAAAGAAATATGCTTGTTTATTTCATTAAATAAAACTGCGCATGCGCAGAATCATTTCTGAACGGATAAAAATCTACTACAGTATTTTGTTCTGGAACATTTTATTATGTTTACGTGCAATATTCACGTGTGACATACCATATTACAACTGATTCAAGAATCGTCCATCACCTTATGGAAACAACTTAATTTTACTATTTATAGATTTTATAAAAATATATCATAAGATATAAAGCTTTATACCCTTTAAATATTAAAAGAGGACACTACATTTGTCGTCTTATTTTAGATACTGATATTGTTATTAGTTTCAGAGTAGAAATTTCAATACTC